CATCCTCGGCGACTTCAACCTTCACTTCACCCCCTCCTGCTCTATCTCCTCGGACTTCTCCTCTCTCACGACATCTCCCTCCACATCCACTCTGCCACTCACTCGACCTGGTGATTACCCAGTGCCTCAGTGTCTCGGACATCACAATCACAGACAAAGTCATCTCTGATCACCATTTCATCTCCTTTAACTCCTCAATCCCTCTCCCCAATCCACCTCCATCTCTTACCACCACTGGGAAAAAATCTCCCTGAAACCCCTCTCCAAGTTTTGGTGTGGGCGGTAAAAAAGGGGAATTTTGAGGGAAGAATTGGAGGGACGGTAGAGTGTAAGGTGCTCGAATGAGGGGAATGCCATGGAGTCATCTGAACTCCTTCCCCTCTGACCCATCTCCTGCACCGATTTATCCTCCTCGCTCAATCTCCTCCACAATTCCCTCTCCACCACTCTTGATTCCCTTGCCCCTCACCTCCCAAACTGCCTCCTACTCATGAACCTCACCCTGGTAACGCCGGCCACCTCTGATCCCTCAAGGGTCAGGTGCGGACCTCCGAACGCACCTGGCTCAAGTCTGATCCCCATTCTCATCCCCCTAAAAACAGCTATAAGCACCCCCAACCTGAAAAAAATCTTCCCCCTGGGCCCATCCCTGCCTTCTAACTACCGTCCCATCTCCAACCTCCCTTTTCTTTCCAAGGTCCTTAAAAAAGTCATTGCTTCTCAGCTTCGCTCATTCCTCTCCTACCATTCCTTTCATGAGCCCCTCCAATCGGGTTTCCGTGATGTCCTGTCCATCTGTGACCAGGGCTCCCTCTGCCTTCTCATTCTCCTTGACCTCTCTGCTGCCTTCGATACCGTGGACCACTCCATCCTCCTCCACCAACTCTCCTTTTACCTCAACTTTCAAGGTTTTGTCCTTGAATGGTTCAAGTCTTATCTCTCACACCATTTCCAATTTGTCTCCACCAACGGTTTCTCTTCCAGACCCCACACGGTCTCATGTGGCGTTCCTCAGGGCCCTGACCTCGGTCCCCCCTCTTCAACCTCTACATCCTACCACTTGGTGACATCATCTACAGATATGGAGTCAATTTCCACATGGACGAGGATGACATCCAACTCTATCTCTGCCTCTACCCTGATTCCAGGACAACTGACTTCCTGACAGACTGTCTGTCAGACATCAAGTCCTGGCTGAGCTGAAAGTCAGCAAGACTGAGGCCCTTCTGATTGACTCGTGCCAGCGCCTCCGCACCCCAGGCACTGGCAGCATCAAAATCCATGGATGCACACCTCACCAAGCCAGTCAGGAACCTGGGAGTCTTGTTCGACCCCCCCCCAACTGTCCTTTCTCCCGCATATCCATGCCATGACCCGCTCTGCTTTCCCCCACCTCCACAACGTTGCCCAACTCCATCACTGCCTCACCCCTCAGGCCACCGAAACCCTCATACATGCATTCGTCATCTCAACGCCCGACTACAGAAGCTTCTTCAGAAGCTTGTGTAGAAGCTTGTCGGCCTCCCCAATTCTTCCCTCCACAAGCTGCAGATCATCCAGAACTTTGCAGCTCGAGTCCTCTCCCACACCAGGCTCAGTGACCCCATTCCCCCACCCTCACCCGGCTCCATTGGCTCCCCATCCTTCAGAGGATGAATTCAAAATTCTTGTCCTCATCGTCAAGGCCCTCCACGGCCTTTCCCCCTACTACATCTCTGACCTGCTGACCCCCTATCAACCTGTCCGCTCCCTCTGTTCAGCAGCCTCTGGTCTGTTCCATGTCTCCCGCCCGACCCGCTCTACCATCGGTGGCCAAACTTTCAGCCTCTCTGCCCCTACCCTTTGTGATTCCATCCCACAATCCCTTCCCCTTGCTCCCTCCCTTGCCTCCTTCAAGGCACGACTCAAGACCCTCATTTTTGACCATTCCTTCAGCCGCCCTTCTACCTCTCGGTCCTCCCTCACCCTTACCCTGCCCCCCCCCTCCCCCCTGCTCGGGTCCTGATCCCCAACTGTTCAGTGTCTTGGGAGGTCCTCCCGACGTGAAAAGGCGCTTTACCAATAGAAGCTTGTTTATGTTGTTGTTGTTTTACTGGTGAACTAATAACAATCAGATAGCCAGGATCCCTTGTGATACCATGTAATGATACCAATAACAAAAGGTGGATTGTTCCAACATGGTCACATCAAATGCCAGCTCAGCAATGAGTTCATTGTATGCTGTAAAAACAACTGCACTGAACTGCAGCTCTGACCTGAAGGAGCTCGTTGAAATTAAGCATTTGATAATCTTCTCGTTTCTTTAAACGTCTGCAGTGAGTCTGGAATCATCCCTTTTCTATTTGGTTTATCTATTGTCTATTTTCAATTTTCCCTCTATCAAAGCGTCCCTGTTAAATTGATAGATGTCCCCGCTCCGACCTCAATCACTTGGTTTCTGGAGTGCTCTCAGCTTTGATTAGCTTCCAGACATCTTTCATTCAATAGCATGCCCGGGTGGTGATGCATCTCACTGCTGTGTGTGGGACGTTGCTGGTACAGTTGGCTGTGGTGTATTCTGTATTCAATGTACATTTGTTACATGTTTCCTTTTCGAATGAGTCCTTCATTTAGTTCCTGTCTACCCTGTGATTCAGGTGGATTTTAAGGGATCTCCGGATGTTATTTGAAGAAACATGGAGTTTTTTTCTCTCCCGATTATGCTGGCTTGTACATCCACCTCCCACTGTCAAAATTTAACCGAGGAATTCAAATGAATTGCCAACTCATCTCACTGTTGTCTTGGGAACTTTGACACCACAGAGCAGCTGTACAGCTATACAGATTTATTTCTGATCAATCTCCCCCTGTAACATGCTTCGAGATGTTTCTTTTCCAGTATAAATGAAATTAGTTGACTCATCAGAGTTGTAACTGTGTGCCTAACTGGTCGATGCAATTCTTAGCTATTTATTTTTTAAAGAACATGAGTAAGTGTGAACCTTTATCTAATTGTAAATCGCATCATCTTAATGATGAAATGTTTGCATGTGAACAAGAATAATAATAAAATAATAATCTTGACATTTGGTACAACATTGAGAGAACCTCTCGAAACACTTTGCAGAATACACTGTAAAGTGGGCACAATATGGTTGTAACAAGGGGTTCCCGAACACACTTGTCATAAATCATTGGAAAACAACAACAACAACAAATTGCATTTATACAGCAACTTTCACATCAGAAGGGCATCCCAAAGCACTGCACGGTCAAGGACGAGGCAGAGTGGCTCTGGGATGGAGTTCCACAGGATGGGGTAGAATGTCTAAAGGCCCGACTGCCGATGGCAGGGCGGGAGGGGCATGGGACATGAAGGAGCAGGCCAATGCCCACCGAATGGAGGGAGCAGACAGGTTGGTAAGGTGTTCCCATGACAAGGTTGCAGAGGTAAGGAGAAGCACAAATTTGGAGGGCCAGTGAAGCCGGGTGAAGTTGGGGGTGATTGGCTCCCAGAGCGGCCTACATACTGTGGTGTGATGTACTGCGATGAAAATAGATTATTCCTGTCCATCAAGTTCTCCTTCCTTCTTTCTCTCTCTCGCTCTCTCTCTCTCTCTCACAAAAGTTTGGCAATCATATTTTACTTTCCACATCTTAGGAAAAGTCATTTTTAACAAACTTGGAGTCACCTCTCCAGAAATATTGTTGTAACATTGGCATGAAAGCAAGAAATCTCTTCTGTTCCGGTTTTAAGCAAGTTACTGATGACCTTTACAGACTGTCGTGCTGCACCAAACACTGTGGCTGGATTGCAAACTGGACTCTTTATCTTTCTGACCTGCTTTCTCCACACTCCATTGCCCACTGCCTCTACTCAGTTGCCTCTGGCCTCCTGTAAGTGCCTCGGTCCCTCCGCTCATTGGCGGCTGTGCTTTCAGCAACTACGCCCCGAAGCTTTAAAACTCTCTCCCCCAATCCCTCCACCCTGCCCCTCCTCCCCCTCATGATTGAAGACGTTCCATTTCAACCATGCTTACGGTCACCTTCTTCTTCCCCCTGGCTCGGTGTCAAGCACTCCAAGACGCTGCCCCCCGTGAAGGGTGCCATATAAATGCAAGGTGTTGTTATTGCTGCAAGCAGAAATGCTGCTGTTCCTGTGTGACCAGCAGAACACAACAAAAGTTTCCCTCTGACACAAGAAGAACAATTCCCAGCAAGCCAATCACCCCTGTGCTGTGGCTGCAGTTCCACCCATAGTCAGTGGAGTAAAGTCATTGCAACCACTTGGTAAAGTTACCATAAATAGGATGTTCCCATTTGTTGGCGAGACCGTAACCAGGGGACCCAAGTATAAGACTAGAGGTTCTTAAAGAAAATTTAGGAGGAAACACTTCATGCAGAGGGTGGTGAGAATGTGGAACTTGCTGCCCAAAGTGATGGTGGAATAAGATAGAGCAGTTGCATTTAAGAGGAAGAAAGACTTTCACATGGGTAGAAGGGAATAGAAGGGTATTGAAAGGGAGTAAGGAGTTAGCGGGGAAGTATGTGGAGCAAAACAATGGCATCGGTGAAAAGGGCTGAATAGCCTGTTTCTGTGCTGTATACTCTGTGTAAATCTATGTAACTGTGACTTTTTGCACTTTGCACTAGGGAAAGCCTAATGTGAAAGGGAGCTCACTTGGTAGGAAATTTTCAGTTACAATACAAGTGGCTCTGCCGCAGAACAAAATGTGACATCTTCCTACTGCACGAATGCAATTAACATGTACAGTATATTCAGATTTAGAAAAGTGCTCATTCATCAGTGCAAAGAATTTCCATAATATGTTTTCTTCGCTTGTGGAAAACTCTGTTCTTCTTTTCCGGATCCTTCCTGAGAACCATGACTGACTACAGAGATGCCTCTTATTCCCTGAATATGATTTGGCCATCCCCTCCTATCAGGCATGGCCTTGAAGCCAAAATTCCCCAAATACAGACTTCTGCCCTCACAGAGGCAACATTAAACAGTCACTCACCATATTGACAGCATCTTGGTCAAAAGGATTCCACTCCACATTCTGAGGGTAGTGAGCTAATACTTTGGACTTGAATGTTCTTCGCAGTGGGCTTTGCTCAAAGTTTTCTCCTACACGAAATGAAGAGAGAAAGAGAGAATGACACACAAATCACTTGGCATCTCCAAGGCCCCTGGTTTGTTCTAAGGCTATTGCATGCAGTCATCAATTCATTGTCCAACTCACCCATTTAAAAAAATTCCAAAACTTGTATTAATTTGTTTCTATTTCAACAAAGTGGTTGAATCTTTACAATTTTCCACACACCATGCATCATTGGCCAACTAAAAGGATGAGCGTTTAACCTACTTGTAGGTTTTTGCAAATGCTCTGTTGCTCTCAGCCTGGCTGACTGGACCTGAGAAACCTCATACCAGAGGTTAAAATGTACCCAAATCTCTGCAGTATCACACCCTCGAGATGCATTTTGCCGGTTCCATTTGAATTGAGATGGCCAACTTGCCAGAAACCAAGTTTCAATCCCATGTTCTCCCTTTCTTCAGTACAGTGTAGAATTACGCCAAGGTTCCAGTACTTTGAGACGTCCTCCCGATGTGAGAGGATCTATATAGAATGTAACTTGCACTATACAAGATACCCTGGCAATGAGCTCCCCAAACATCATTGGAATCTTACATTTTTCTCGCTGGTTTTCCCTGTAAAAAAATGCTATTAGCTGTAAATGCTACTTGAATCATCACTGGCAGTAGTCAAATTGAAGCAGAATATTTAGAAATCAGACACAGATCATTTTCTGGATGAAATTACAGTGAGTGAATATAATCAGACCAAAGTGAAAAATTATTCAAAGTTACAATTGTGTTTCACACCCAATCTCTTATCTTTCCAGAACAATTTGTGTTATCAACAGAAGTTGGCAGTGAAAGCTTGTTTTTAAGAAACCTTTAGAAAACTAAAGTGTTTCATTGAAATTAATTATTGCAGGAATATGAAGGAGCTTCCATACTTCCATTTAAATCTGACAAAACGATTTGTTTTTCACTGTGCTTTTGAATTGTTGTAAAGAGAATGGGTTGGAAGCACAATGATTGGAATTCACCTGCACATCACTGCAGACCCACAACCAGGAAAGGTTCAGCAGACAAAAAGTGAATGTGGAGAAGAATATCTGAGCCACCAGCACCAAATTAACACTGCACAAAGCACTACGGTTCATTCAAAGGCAGAGAAGCCTTCGGATGGATTAGAAGCACTCAGAGCCAGAAAAGCAAAAGGGGAAACGCACGAATGAAAGTAGAGTCATTTAGCTGAGCAGAGAAAGAGAGCACCACAAGCTCTGGTCACCAACATCCCCAGCTGTGCTGCTAGGTAACCCACGCACTCTGAGATTTGAGCACAGTGACTGGAGGAATGATGGGTCGAGAGTGACCTCAGCAGATTATTCAGGAGAATCCCCAGATTTGGGAGATGAAAGAACATGCAGAAAGAACACAGCTTGGCCGGCTTCCTGCCGTTTACCTGAGTGTTTGGTCGAACGTGCAGGGTCTTGCTTCCTGCTGTGTCGTTCGGCTGCTAGCCACTCGTATAAAGCTATATGCACAAACGGAAACAAAACTCGGTGTAAAAAGAAAATTCAAAATAAAAAGAAACAGACTCGAAAGAAGCTTTGAAACATTGCAATTGTGACTCCACAACCGCAGGTGTGACGTTCCAAACTCCCAGGCAATCAGCATGGGGCTGGCTGTTAACACTGGTAGTTTTGTGCTGAGAAACCACTGGCTCTTGTCCAAACTTGCATTGTTTGAGGCTCGTGTTGTTGCTGAAATATAAAAGCGTTCATTCACTGTGTCACATGTTAGCACCACCACCCCAACCACGGTGTGAACAGAAATAACCAATTTTTTTTACCAACGGTAAAATGAAATTTGTATAGCTCCTTTCATGGAATTCATGCAGGGAAAGCAGAGTGAAAAAAACAGGGAATGTCTAGTTCTTCCTCCAAAGGGGGGGGAAGAACAATTTGCCCAAATCACTTTCACAAGCACAATAAAAGATTAATGAAATTCTGTGTTCCACTCTACAGCTGGTTAGCAGCCGCGGAACTCTGTTGAAATCTCATTCTTAAAACCATTTCTCTTTGATATTTTAGGAACTGTTTCCCTTTGCACTCCGAGTCATGTTGTGCAGGTTCTGAAGACTGCCAAAGACTGTTGTTAGCTCTTTTCCTTGGAGGCCAGTCTTCCGCGTGGGCACACAGCTCCTCGCTCCTCGCACAAACCCAACGTGAGCTATTACAGGCCACGGCTGACAACTCACATTGCAGTTCATTTGGTTTTGGTTAGCTGGGTATCTGACACGAAACTCATTATCGATCTTAAAAGTATCCAACCCAGACTGAGAGTTCCATGTATGAACGCCACTGATGTATCTGGAACTGAATTTACAGTGAAAGGTGAAAGGTAATAATTCCTCCCTCCAAAAATGTGTCACTCAATCCACAACTGTTCGTGGGACGCTGCTGTGGGCCATTGCCGTGTTTCGTCCACAAAAATAGACAGTCATTCCACTTTACCATACATTGTTTAAAGCACTTTGAGACGTCTCAACAGCGTGACGCAGTATACAGTATATAGCTTGGGACATAACATGCCAGTAGGGTGGCGGGCGAACTACATGGACTTTGGTCTTCTTTCGCCTAGCAAATTGTTATGTTCTTATAAGGAGCTATGTCAAATGCAAGTATTATTATTATTTATTATTAGAAGCTAAACTGATGCTCCAAGACTTGTTCGAAGATTCTCTACTTAGAGCTAATAAATGGCAGAAAGCAGAGGTGAAGTGTTTTGCCTTGTAGGAGGGAGCAGGGGTCGCATGGCAGTTTGTTCTGCCTCCATAATGCCTGTAAATCACACTTGACATTTGTTGTGAAGTTCATCACTGCTTACAGGATTTCTCTCGCTAAGTCCCCTGAGAAGCACAACACATGGCCGTAACTGTCTCGTATGGAGACGAAAATGGGGGGAAATTAAAAAGGCTGATGTCAGATCTCAGTAAACAAGGCACACGAAGAAAAAAAACCTGCCGTAATATATGAAATGAACTGATGCCATGATCTGATAATTTTGCATGCCTTAAAAACACCACCGGGGAGTGGAGGAAATACGGATTTTCTAATCTTCAAAGCAGTTTGGTTGCAATATAAATTGGAACGAGATGTCTCAAATGTAACCTTCAAAGGCAAAATGAGATTAACACTTCAAAACGCACCTTTGATCAGCCAAAATGTTGTGCTGGTATGAACTGTCTGATTAGAAAGAATATTTATCAGGGAGCAGTGGAAACCTAAATACATTAGCCAAGGAAGGACTGCATATTACAAAGCCTTGCAATCCTGCTTACCCACAAAAATACATAATTACTGCACTTTGATGTCCTCTCTCAAAATGTAAGAATTCTTAATATTCCTGTATTTCCCAGTTTTCCATTCATTATTGGTTGCTGGAGCAGAGTACATGAGCAGAGTACAAAGTAATTAGCTGCGCACATGTGGAGGAAGGGTATTAGAGGGTATGAGAAAAGAGGAGAGAATGGAGATTCAAATAGTTGGCTACACCTCCATAGATGGAGGAACAAACAGTGACACGATTACAAAGGACCAAATTTTCTCTGCCAATATTGCAGTTTCAATCATTTTTTGATTCATATGACATATATGAACCTTATTAATGTCCTTCCTTTTTATTCACGTCTACTGCAAGTGCAAAGAGATACTTCCACGCTTCCCTTGAAGTGATGGTTGCTGTTCCTCTGGCACACTGAAACTGTTAGCAGGGATCGAGGAGGGTTGAATTTATGGGTTTTGTTTGATCAAAAATAGACTGTATCTCAGTAGTGATGCACAGAGCGAGCTTGACTGTTCGAGCGCGTGAAGTGATAAAAACAAACAAGAAGGGAAGAAATTTGTTCTTAATTTGACATCAATTGTGCTGCAGCTAGAAGGCTGAACACCTCAATCCTCTGCAGATGCCAAACTCTGGTAATGTTAAGATGTTAAAATTCATTCTGCATTTCATCGAAAGGAGGTGAAAATGGTGTAACTTGGGAGTTGGAATCCAGCTTTCATTGCAAAGCGGCATTTTGATCGCGAGAATTGGTGTGAAACATCACACAATCCGCAAAACTCAGAGCCCTTTTTGGACAAGTTGAGTTAAGGAATGAATGAAGATATACCAAAGTTTGGGCTATTGATGACATTTGTGTAACATTACTCATACTGTGGTGAACTGTCAAAATCATCACAGTAAACCACCCCGCCGATTTGTGTTCATNAAAAAAAGTGTAGGGCTGCATGGTCCAACCACGGGACTCAAATCCCGTCTACCTTTCCTCAAGTAAGTGTTAAAGATCCATAACACTATTTTGGTAAAAAAAGAGAATTTTTTCCATGTCCTCATCAACAATCATTCAGAAATCATCGGTCATTCACTTCTTGCCTGTCACTTCACTTTACAATAATTACTGTCAAAGCTTTGAGACATATTGTAAATGTTTGGAAAACTCAAGGTCTTTGCTGCCTCAGGTCTCTCTCTCTCACACACTTTCTGTCTGGCTGGTGAGCTGATTTCAGCAAACCACCCATTGACCCTAAGAAGCTCATCAATAATAAACTGTGGGAATCCTTGATACCACAAAGGAATGTGAACTAAAACCACATTAAGCTGTATTTTCTTATGAGTTACAGATTCTGAGTGAATGGAAAAGCACTTCCAATGTTTGTCATGTCAGCCATAGGCAGATTACAGCCACTTTTTTAGGTTTGCAGAGTCACACTACAATCAATTGGGCAGTGACAGTCAGTTTGCTGCGGACAGTGGTGAAGACCTAGGTTGGATCAGACTACTGAAGACAGTCAGACAGTTTCCTGACCTGAAGTGGTCTAGACAGCAATGCCACTGCTCAGCATAATTCATCTTCAGGCCAGGTGAACAAAATTGAAACAGTGCCACAAAAAAAGAAACCCTATAGACTATCTTACAAAGGCAGAAGTGTAGTCACTGGATAAAGCATGTGGCAATTCCTCATTCAGGTCACGACAAGCAAGACGATGCTGGGGTGTGTGCATCAATGAAGGGGAAAGGGGATGATTCACAGGCCGAGCTGTGTCTACACACTGTGTGCCTGACCTAATGTATGTCTAATGGATTTTAACAGGTTTCTTCTGATGGAAGTTGAGGCACCTGTGAGTGGAGATGTTACAGTGGGTGATGAAGGTGGTGAAGCAACAGATAATGTATGTTTTTACGCAAATTACAACTGAAAATGGGAGTCGAATTACACTCAAATTCATTAACTGTGCTGCGACACAATTTAAACAATTTGAAATAAAACCAGTCATTAAATGTTGGACTGAATATTAACCATCAAAGTGAGAACCAACTGCAGAATGCAGCAGGCTTTTTTTTATACAAAATATGAAAGAAAACGGAGATAATGAACAATTACTGTCAGAAGTGAAACTCGCTGCAATGAGCAGATAGATATCAGCACATTCAAAATGTGATTATCACCAGGGCCGGGGTAATAAAGTGCTTTGATTGATCTGTTTGTAATGCCAACTGCTGATCAGCTGATAAATCAGTCAGTGGTGAGAGAGAAATAATGACAAAGTCTATTTGTCATCCATTTAAAGGGACAATATTATCTCGTTAGGGATTTTGCCCCATACTGCACATCCATTTAAAGGGACAATATTCTCTTGTAAGGGATTTTGCCCCATACTTCATGATTTCCAACTCTTCTCTCACAGCCTAATACATGAGTCTTAACCCAGTATTGGTCTGGCGCAGTGGTAGCACCTCTCGCCTCTGTGTCCGAAAGTTGTGGGTTCAAGCTGCATGTTGGGAGCTTGGAATCAAATATTCTAACTTGACACTTCAATGCAGTGCTGGGGGGGGGTGTTGCGTTCTCGGAGGTGCCGTGCTTCGGATGAGACATTAAACCAAGGTCCTGTCTGGCTGTTCAGGTGGATGTTAAAGATCCAGTGGCACAATTTGAAAAGAGAAGGGAGTTTCTCCAGGTGTCCTGGCCAACAATCCTCCAAACAAAATTGGTCACTCACTCCATAGCTTTTTGTAGGGCATTGTTGTGCAAAATTGGCTGCCACATTTCGCCCCACAAAATACAGTCAAAGTACTTTACAGTATATTCTGTGAAGCGCTTTGAGACATCTCAACAATGTGTTAAGGCACTATATCAAATGCTTTTTATAATTATTACATTGCTCAAGAGAGAGGGTGCATGAGCTAGGGTACAGGACCTCAGGTACAGGGTTACAGGAGTTGACTCAATCAATTTACTTCTTATTCCCATACCACTCTCTCCCTTATCCCGTGAGACTGTTGTCTTTAAACCTGCACCCTACATCAGCAGTACAGCACAGAGCACCACTGCGCTGTGCTACAATCCACTTTCCCAACTCCACAACTATTCAAAGTGGTTGCAACCCAGTGGGTTATAATATTACGACAGATACAGATTATCACCGATCACTTGGTAGGTTTGTCTTACCTCCCGGGATCTGCTGCAAACTT